AGTGTATTATGGGGTTGATATAAAACCTAGTTAGTTAGAAATATTATGTTCTATGTAAGCTAAAGCTAAAAATGAAAATGGAAAAATACGCAAGTGTAAAAACGAAGAAAGAAGAGAAAGATATGTGGTCGGGAACGTATTCAGACTTCAGAGTGAGTGAAGGAGGCTTAGAGCATGTTTAATGCATGTTGCTTAGAGAGTTGCTTAATTTAAAGAGAGAGAGTGTGAAAATTGCTTAATTAAGCAACTCCTCTTCTCCTAAGCAACCCTCTCTCTTCAAATTAAACACTCCTCTCCTTATAAGCAACTCTCTAAGCAACCTCCATTAAACATGCTCTTAGGGCAGCCGACATCGAATCTTTAAAAGTGGCAAAAATCTGAAATACCTTATCACAATAAATACGCGCATCTAAATATCTTGTTATTTCCCAACAAATGATTCATGAAATACGCTTTTATTCTGAAAGTCATAATATCATTGTTTGGTAAAAATGAATGTGGTAGTGACACATATCTAAATCATTTGTCAAATAATATATAAGAGATTGTTTCTATCATATGTAAAAATAATCAGCATGTTTCATTTGATTCAGGACTGTGGTGGATACAAATCACAACTTGATGAGGTCATATTTGTTAACCACTAACCCAGCTTTCTGTTTCTGGAACCATATGTAACGCAAAGTACTTGTAAAGAAAAGGATCTGAGTTGATTCTTGAGGCAGCATAATTTGACAACCGGTCCATCCATCGAGTTAACACAATATTCTTGGTGTCAACTGTTGGCACCTGAGAAGTTATTTCTTAAGATCAGAGAGGAAGGAAAAGAGTAAAGTTCTCAAGACTTGGACTATATACTCACCATCAGTTGTGTACAAGCAGCTAATAATGTCTCAAGAGTCTGCAAGTGGTACTCCATCAGATGATACTGGGCCAGCTCATCTTTACAATTGAACTACCTGATCAAGGTTGACCATGCCCAAAACTTAAGTATATGTATATGAATTATTTATTTAAAGATGATATTTTATTGTCATTTCAATTTTCATACGAACAATTTATTCAGAAAAAAAGCTCTTCCACTTTCTATAAAATAATATGCTTGATAATCTTTATTTGATAATCTTTTCAAGACGGAAAAATGTAAAAAGCCCGAGGCCATTTTATTTTACCACTTAAAAGCCCAGATGAAACTAATTGGATTGATTTTAGGCCCAGCTTAAAGACGTAAAGCTTTAAGTATTTGAGGCGGTGCGTTAATATATCCCACATCGCTTGTGAGACCCTTTCAACTCAATAAACATGCGCTATAAATAGAGTCTCGCATACTCCTTAGAAAAGCATCTTTGCGCTTGGGGCAATGACGCAGCTAATGAGGTACTAACCGAGGCGCGTCTATTGCTGGTTGAAAACTATTTCCAAACCCCCTCCTGGGCCTAAGCTTGTCTTGGGCCTTCGAGAATTTCTGGAAGGGCTCCCTTCGGGGTAAAGCCCTACAATATTCCTAGTTATAAATTTTAATGTCTAGTTAAATGGCAAGTTCATGTTGCTGTCTTGTTTAACGCAGGGCCAGGCCACTAGTTCATCACATTGAGTTACTTTGACTGCGCTGAAGAATTGTTTAGCAGACATAAACGATGTTGCTGTTCACATTAAATTTTAATATCTAAACGGATGGCAAGTTCATGTTGCTGTCTTGTTTAAAGCAAGCCCAGTATCTGTGGTTCAGTTTTCCTGGTTTATGTATTTTAAGGCCCATTAGTTTATCAGCTGTGCTTTGCTGCCTTTTAACATGCCTTTTGTTCTACCGTTTATATGTATTTTTTACCTTCGTGCAACAACGTATTATGTCCATCAAGAAAATCAATGTCAAATAGTATGGTAATGAAAAAATATCATGGGTTGGTTTTCTCAAGAACACCTCGGTAAATATCACTGGTGACTAATTGCCAATTATTCATAAAAACAAAAGAAGTGTTGAAAAAGAGACCAGAAGTTTTACTGACAATAAACTTCACAAGATTGCAAGTTGCTCGTCTCATGAAAAGTTACAACACTTATTAGAGGTATGTTATCAGGTTCGTAATAAACTAATAATATCTTATACAATAAAGTTGAGTTTTCTCACTTCTCAAGCCTCCACATCAGCATTAAAGCATGGGGCAAAAAATTACATGTCAGCATTTACTAATTGAAATCAAACCGGACAAAATTAATTCTCATATCGGTTTGTCACATTCTGATTTTTTGAGTTTCTGAAAAAATGGGTTTGGGCTCTTCAAACTATAATGGCCAGTTATAGAATGATTTATGTATTACCCAACTTGCATAATTTTTTTTAGATTTACACACATTTTCAGTCCGTTAAGTCGTCTTCTTACCTTAGGTTTCAGAGATCAAACCGACGGTTATCTTTTTGTAAAGTTTTTTTTTTTACCTTTTTGTAAAGTTTGTTCTCATGCATCCTTATATTTCATATAAAATAATTAACACTTGCACAACTTATAACTAAACAAGGTGCATAGTTTGTATTACATATATTGCAACATCTTCGACGTTTTAGTGTACACAATTTAAAGTAACAAATGATAATAATTAACACAAATTAATAGAATTATGAAGATACCATCATAGAAANCGTTTTAGTGTACACAATTTAAAGTAACAAATGATAATAATTAACACAAATTAATAGAATTATGAAGATACCATCATAGAAAATTATGAACACTTTCATAACTCATATAAGATTACACAAACTACAGAGCTAATGAACACTTGCACAACTTCTAAAAAATAAACAAAGAGAAGAGCTTATATCACTTTGTTTAAACAAATGTCGAAACTTATATCACTTTGGTTTATGATTGCCACATATATAAGAATCTGTTCAAAAAAAATGACTGCCACATATACAAGGTTTTAGATGAGAAATTTATAAGTAACAAACTGATAATAATTAATTAACACAAAATAATAAAATTAAGAAGTTACCATTACAGAAAATTATGAACACTTGCATATCTCATAAAAATTAGACACATTTCAGAGCTTATATAACCTATATTGACACATTCTATATGCTTAGAAGACCAGTTTATAAATAACAAACTGCTAAAAATTAACAAAAAAAAAAAAATTGGATTTAAGAAGCTATAACCTTACAAATTAAAGTTTATCGTTGCAGGGTGCCTACACGCCTCCCAACTGAATGATTAGCTCACACTATAAATGCAGTGTAATTGCAAAAGCCAGTAGTTACGTATCTCCTACATTCTTTCACTACACAGTTCTGATGCAATCTCTTGATTCCTAATTACTCAACCATTACGATTTTCAGAAATAATGGTGAAGACGCCAGTTGAATTTAATGGCAAAGCAACCACGGGAGATCTCCCAAAAATCTTAGTGTTTCTGAACACTCCACCGCATCTTCATCATATGTAACCAAAAGAAGTCATAAAAAGAAAAAAAATTGGTCCAAAGGAGACGTAAACTAATTCTTTATGACTTTGAAAACTTACTCTTTTGTAAAAAAAATTATGTACTTATTCCTACTCTTTAATCTTTGTACCTCCAGTATCTGAACCACGGCAGCCTTGGCTACAATATAAATATCTGCCACGCACACCAGCCCCCCCCTCCCCCCATATCGGACACCTATAAGCTGAAACTCATCTTAATAGTGAGGGAATAAATCAGTACTTCTTCCACCACAAATCAATCAAAGCACTCAATCACCTCACATGTGCCAATCTGCTTATGGAAAATACGATAAGGGTATGTATCTTTGGGGTTTAGTAATGTTGTGCAGAGGAAACCTCAAAGAAGGAAAATATTTCNCTTAATAGTGAGGGAATAAATCAGTACTTCTTCCACCACAAATCAATCAAAGCACTCAATCACCTCACATGTGCCAATCTGCTTATGGAAAATACGATAAGGGTATGTATCTTTGGGGTTTAGTAATGTTGTGCAGAGGAAACCTCAAAGAAGGAAAATATTTCTTTGATATCCTTGACTAGGAACACACACTATCAAATCCGATCGCTGCTGGAATAAGATTAAGAGGTTCAAGTACTTTGGATATCCGATCAGATCTCTTTGATACACTACTGTGGCAATGCTATCAAGAAACTTATGTTCGGGACAAGAACGTTCTCTGAAAACACCGCACCTGACGGTGGACCAATGGCAAAGGACATTGAGCATATGGAAGCTATGTTTGAAGCATTAGGGTTTAAGTTCGCCTTTTGTATCTTTGATTATCTATATATGCTCACGGGACTTGATTTTAACGGTCACGAGAATGGTGGCGTTTAAGATATAAACGATCAGTCTAGGATTGTTACTATTTTGTGTATAAGATATAAACGATCAGTTTAGGATTGTTACTTTTTTAACAGGACGGAACTATATATTATCTTCCTTGAAACAACATAATCACAAAACAAACACAACTATTTACATTTTTCATTTACAAACATGAACTTTACTTTATGTTTAATTATTTACTAAATTAACTTTGTAAAGTCTATCAAATTTTTACTCTACTTTTATTTGTTTCGATTAATAACAACCACTTATGCTACTCCACTAATAATCAGAAAAGATCATTGTCTTCAACATACTTACAACATCAAATTTCTGAACATAATCTCTTCACCAAGGCCACAAACTAAATCGCAACTTCTTTTATAATAACATATATGAATCCGGCGCGTAGCGCCGGTACACCACTAGTATCATAGAAAGTGCAGAACCATACTCCCTCCGTTACATAATAAGTGTCACTTTAGACAATTTTTTTCGTTGCAAAATAAGTGTCGTTTTCGGTTTTTTATGCAAAATTTATTGATTTTATTCTGTAATTCATTCTTCTATTGGTTGAAATGTATAGGTAATTGTGTTTTTATATGGGAAATATGTAAAATTAATTATTTTCTTAATCTGTGTACCAAGACCTAAAATGACACTTATTATAAAACAGAGGGAGTATTAAAAAGGTATTAGTTTTAACTTTTAAGTATAAGATAAAAACTACATTATAAGTGGTTTATCCATTTTGTAACTAAAGTAGAAAACCATTTTTTTCAGTCATTCGAGGTTATCATCAACATTACTACTAATCCACTCAACACGAGCCACAGCTACTAGAGTCAGCACCAACAAGCTCAAGTCCAGAAGAACCACGTTCTTCCCATACGACGACACCGTTTTCCTCCTGAACAAGACTCTTCTTCTTCTCCATTATAAACGTCTCTATTTTCAAACGAAACTCCTCGCTGCTCAACCTCTCAATCCCCGAGTTCGCCGACTCAGTCCTCCTAAACTCCATCACCTCCGGAGCTTTAACCTTCTTCCTCCTCTCCGATTTCGTCCTCCGAATCTCCGTAACCGCCCTGTTAACCTTCTTCCTCGTCTCCGCTTTCGTTATAACCGCCTCCTCAACCACCTCCTCCGCCGCAAACGCCGGAACTATCTGCTTGTCCATAACAACCACCTCCTCATGTACCTCCGTGTTAAACGTCGTAACTATTTGCTTTTTCGAATCATCCTCGTCTACAACTTTCTCATCAGAGTCAGTTACAGTCACGGTCACGGAAGAGGTGTACTGATAGTAAAGATCTGGTTCGTTACTACTAACACGTGTACTCTCTCCGTCGTGACCACGAGACAGAAAGCAAACCAAAGCGACGAGTACGTTAGTGAAGAAGAAAACGAAAAGACGGTTGGTTAACATAACCGTTCCGGTTCGGTAAAACCAACCGCAGGCAGCTTGTAACGAAACCGTCACGGTGGGAAACCATAAGTAACAGAAGAAAGCAACGGCGGCTGCTCGTGTAATGTTCTTAAACCGTTTCTTGTTGTTGTATCTTCTCATCGCTTCCGCTTTCTCCGCCTCCACGCCATCAAACTCTAACTGCTTCCTCATTTTTATTTTTATTTTGCAGTCACTGTTGATTTATTGCAAAAGCTAAAGGTATAAAATGATAAATACTGATGGAGAGATCTTAGGTTGTTTTCTAGGAGAATTGGATCGGGAAAGTAACGATTCTTTATAAATATTTCCGGGAAAATTGAATTGGGAAAGTGAAGCGATCGATTGAATATTCGATTGGGGGGGAGGGAGATCACTGACAGTGATACGAGTTTCTATTTATAGACATCCTTACAAATTAAGGGTCCCCCCCTTTGCATTTAAACATTGTTTAGGTTTTTAAATAATATGATTAGTTCTGCTTCTGCATATAGTTTTGTGTGGACATACATTCAAGCAATAATGTAATTATTATTCTTTTCATTTTCCTTGGTAATTTAAATGTAGGAAAGAACTTGGGGAATTCCTTTTTTGTTTCTTTAAAATGTTTTGTCTCCATGTCTGTGAAAACAATGATTAGTTGGTCTACTAATTGTCATTTTGCCAAAACTAATTATTATGCTACATCTCAATATAATATTTTCTCTATGGAAACTTACTTGGAGATAATGAGATTTGATAATATAGTTTCGTATCGTATATATATATACTGAATATAATTCAACTTACCATAAATTAACGATGCCAAATCTCTAACAAAATGTACAAAAAGACATGTGAGGAGAATACATTATACATGGACTTTAGCAGCCCATGAAGCAAGCCACTAGTAAAGTTTCAAAGAGACATGTGATGAAAGTCACGCGCCGTCAAAGTAAAAGAGCAGCAAACTTATCCACACATTCTCACAGTCACATTTACGAGGTTCATGGATTTGGAAAACAAGGGATTGGGCAAATGGTCGAGAATCACGTGAGAATGAGATGAATCACATGCACGAAGAGAACTTTCTTGGTTCTTACACAGAGTTTTATATACGCAAACATTGTATTAAAGTTAATAAAAATTTGATTGATGATCAGTTACAAAACAAAAAAGAATTTGATTGATGAATACATTGTTTAAAGCTAGTAGTATTCTATTGCAGACAAAGACTGCTTTGGTGTAGGTTTGTAGCAACAGAGCTCAACAACACTATCTGATCTTGGTGTCGACCGGAACAAACGATTTTACATTATTTGGGACTACCAAACAATTTATGAGAACAAAGTACTTGTATTATATCCCTAGTAAGATAAAATAAAAAATAATTTTAATCCGACATAAACCAAACAGACTGAATTATTTCAACATGATCAAGAAACTGATTAGATTTCGTTAAGCCATAACGCTCAACTAACACAGCTCAAAGACCTTTCTTGTGTTAGTATTAGGAAACAGGAAAACAAATTTTGATCTAAATCGATAATTCGATCATGTTTGGATGAGTGTTTAAGAAATTATTGAGCTTTATGCTCTAAGTCCACACTTATACCAGTTAACAGTCTTCTTAGTGCAAAACATTAAACAGTTGGTAGTAAAAAATCTCTTGCGACAAAACAAACTTGTCTGCATTAAACAGTTAACTGGGCCGGTCCCGTCTACCAAAATAAGTTGATTGGGCCCTCGCTTCCTGCTACATAAATTTTAATCCCCAACAGATAAAAAGCACACTAACTAGTGTTGGCCTCGCAAATTGTATTGGCCATAACCACAGAAACAAGAGTTCTGCAAATCTTCAGATTTCAACAACTGTCTTACATGACCCTTAACTATAGATTGTGCTTGCTTACTAATAACAATCACTACAGTGATCTAGAGTGTATTGTGAATATATAAGGGATGATAAAAACTTGGCGTCACAGTTCATGTTCTGGCTGATAACCAGAGCAGGCATTTACAACGACCATGCTCATGTTGCAAAGTTCTGCAAAACTGACCGACAGAGTCCTAGAGCAATGATATCGAGCAACTCATCAAACACTAGACAGCAACAACAACAAAAACCATACTCGCACTAATCATCTAGTACCATGCCACTGAGTTATAAGAGCAATAAGGCTATCACCACATCCTTTCTCTCTCATTGCAAGAACTATTCAATATGCATTGTATCAATAAACAAGAATCAATATTTCCATGCGTCAAACACATTCTTAAAACAAAGCATAGTCATTTGCATTAACATACAATTCAAACAGCCTAAGCAAAGACAAATTCAAAGCTTTACCAGAAAAAGACATTGTAAACTCTCATCATTTCTTCTTCCCTTTGCCAGCACCTTTGTTCTTCTTCGTCGGCAACACAATCTCCCCCTTCAAAACAGGAATCTCCATAATCTCCGACAACCCCGCGAACCTCTTACGGAACTTCTCAACCTGATCAGCATCAACCATCAAAGCAGACCGGTTCCCGAGGTAAAACGGATGGTTACCAGACCAAACATCAACGACATACTCTTTCTTGGTCCCTCCGGTCGTCATCACGAGCTCTCCGTTACAGTAAACCTTGGCGTCCTCGTGGAACTCAGGGTGCAAATCCTTCTTCCTGCACGTTATCTGAACCGTCGCCGGTTTACTTCCTCCTCTCGCGCCAATCGCTCCCGCCTTAACCGGCTATTCGGAAAAAAAGTTTAGTGATTTGTGGAGATGAGAGGAGAGAGTAGAAGTAGAAGATGAAGAGAAGGGTTTTTACCTTTCGGATTGCCAGAGAAGGAGCGGATGGGTTGATCTGGAGGAACGAGTTTGGGAGAGAAACCGCCATTTTCTTTTTGCCTCTTTGGCCACAATCTTTATCTCCTTTTCACTGGTGTAGAAGAAGCATAGATAAGGGAAAGAGGTTGATGATGGTTTAATTACGTTTCTAACCCTTGAAAACTGAGGGGGTTTATACCAGTTCTAGTCATTTTATCCGGTACACTAAAATTTGAACCGGACCGGACAAATATATTTTAGATGAAAATAATCTAGAATTTTATAGATGACTAAATGTCCTTGCCATAATTTTTTTTTTTTTACAAAATAAATAGCATTTTATATTTTCAATGCAGCTTTCTCTATTAATTTACCTCTTCTAACTCTATTTACATTAATATAAATATAATTATTATGTAATTTATTTTTACGACATACAAAAATAAATTTGAATATTTAACTAGTTTCTTAATTTTTATACAAAATTCTAGAACGATAATTAATCTGAAATGAATAGATATGTGTTTACATTTATATATAAAATATATGAATTAGCATAATACATGTTATATTTACTAAATTTTAGTGATTTTTGTAACGAAATTCTATTTGTAAATTTTATTTTAGTAATATTTTAAGTAATATAAATTTAAAATATAAATTTAGGATACAATTATTTGATCAAAATGTTTTTTTTTTAATTTTGATGATTTTCTACTGTTAGGAGTAAATTTACAGAGTTCAGATTAATAAAATAAAAATAAATAGAATTAAAATGAGATATAATATGTTTTGGATGTTTATGCAGATATGCAAATATTTATAACTAAACCGATTCCAAACCGCGTAAACGAAACTAAACCTCCACAAGAACCTAAAATCCCTCTACTCAGAAAAGACCCGGATCCAATAACACTAACCTCAATCCGACCCGAAAACCTGGAAAACTAGTCTTCTTCCTCGTCGATTCGACGCTAACTCTTTCTTTGTAAAAAGATTATTACCAGAAAGAACTACACTTTGTGGAAAGGTTTGAAACAAGTGAGTATGAGAAAGGAACTGTGCAGAAACTTTCAACAGGGAAGGTAAACTTCTTTGATGATCTCTCCTTCGTTTCCAAGTTGTTTGATTGTTTGTTTGCTTGTTTGTTGTTATTGCAGTTGTAGGTATGGAGAAAGATGCAGATACCTTCACCCACAACAAACTAAACCAAACAATCCCTTTGGCTTTGGTACACCATCCAGAGATCAGCAGCAACAGAACAAGAGTTCTAATAACCCTTTTGGATTTGGTGTACAAGGCGGTGCCAACTCCAACAGACCAAATCAATCTCAGGTTCTCAGTCTTTTTAAGATTAAAAGTATTGATTTTTTTTTTAATTAGAATGTGCCTTTTCTTGAAGTAAAGAAAGCATCTTTGAATCAAATTGGTTTCTCTGTCTTTTAAGATGAAAAGTATTGATTTTTAGTTAAAATGTGTCTCTTCTTGAAGTAAAGAAATCATCTTTGAATCAAATTGGTTTCTTCAGCCTTTTCAAAATACATGGCAACGTAATCCTTCTACACCTGGTGTTGGTGTTGGTGGTGGTTCTACGCAGCAGTCTGGTAAACAGACGCAACAGGCAGAGCATAAGTGAGTATATACATATGCTAGTTACGTTGATAAATATCATCTATTTACCTGTCTTGGGTTACTTTGCCAAAGATGCACGGATCCTGCTGCGTGTAAGCGTCTGATGCAAGAGGATTTTAAGAATGAGAGACCCATGTGGAAGCTCACTTGCTACGCTCACTCCAAATAGTATGTAAATTTGCTTCATCTTTACTACATCCTTTTGATTTTTTACTCAATTCTTTTTTAACATTTTCTAATCTTGTCTATCTTCCTTTTTTCTTTTAGCCTTCCTTGTGACATTAGTGGTGATATCAGCTACGAAGAGTTACGTGCCATGGCATATGAAGAATCTAAACGAGGAATACCTCTACAGTCTATTGTGAGATTGATCTTTCTTTAAACACAATCATGTCTCCTCTTTTGCTGCCTTATCAAACAATGATTCATAATATAGATTGAAAGGGAGAGGAATTTGCAAAATGCCAAAGTAGCTGAGTTTGAAAACTCTCTACGGAGTCCATACAGAGGCGCTGTTACAACCAATCAAACTCCTAGTATCTTCCCACCAGCTAGTCAAGTCAATTCCTCTCCAGGATTCTCTGCCTTCAATCAACAACCAGCATTCCCCAACACTAATGCTGGTGGAGGAGTCAGGTATCAACTTTTGTAGGCTTTCTCTATTCTCTACATCCTTTTAGTTTGTGTTGCCTTCTTAAACATGTCTCTGCTTACCAATTATTCCTCAATGTAGTTCATCTGGACCTCCTAATCCATTTGGACGGTTTAATCAACAACCTAATGCTTTCAGCGTTAACCCTCCTCAACCTGCTCCTTCAGGTACTAGTTTTATCAAAGTTGAAGTTCAGAAACTGAGACTACATCATGTTAAAACCTATTTTGCAAAATGATCACAGGTCCATCTTGTTTCCAGAGTCAGCCATCATCGTTTGGACCTGGACCAGTTGCTCCGTCTGGTTTCCAAACTCAACCATCAGTAGTAGCATTCAAGCCATCATCGTTTGGACCTGGACCAGGACTCGCCACTGGTCCCTCTGGTTTCCAGAGTCAACCAGTATCTTTTGGACCTGGACCAGGATTCGCTACACCTCCACAAAGCAGCAACGTCTTTCCTTCATTCAACTTCAATTCCCCTGTTGCACCTTTCACTTCTCCTGTTACAGACGCAACCAACATACCGTCCGGGTAAGTGCTCTCATTATGTTTCAAGATTTTTCCACCGTGGAAAACTGATAGAATTATAGAACATCGACCTATGCTATATAGTTTCTTACTTGAACCATGTACGGTAAACCTTGCAGAACCGAGCTACAAGCAGGAGGTGCTCCTGTTGATACTAGCATCTGGTTAAAGGAGAAATGGAATCCAGGAGAGGTAATATTGCTCAAAATCTTTTAAGTTTAATTACAAAATTTTACTGCCGAAACAATAATAGTTAAAAGACTATTTTGGTGATTTTGTGCCTGCAGATTCCTGAGCAAGCGCCGCCTGATGCATTTGTTCGTCGATAGAGAAAGAGTCATTTGTTGTCTTGTGTTACTCCTCTGTAGCGAAAAAGCTCACTTTGTTATTTTAGGAGAAATTGAAGTTTTGAAATTACATGTAGGGAGCTGTCTGAAAATTGAGTTGTCAAAGATCGTTTGTGTATGAAACGTTTAATGAAAGAAATCGAAAACTCTTTATATCATTTACCCCCCCCCCTTTTAAACCCCTTTGTTAGCTTAGCACTCTCCCGCGTTTAGCTGTGCCATTGACTGTATACCAGTATTAACCTTTGAGAAACCTTGATGAATAATATTGTGGATGCTTTAGCTGGGAATAAGAATGAGCCTTTTTTTTTTATATATATGACTCATATGGATACAAATGTTTATATTATTGGTTAATAAATCTCTAGTTCTGACTTCATCCCATATCATAGCTTGATCATGTACTTGTTCTTGAGCTGGTTAGTTCTGATTTATAAGGTCACTGCTCATAATAGGGAAAGAAAGTTTCACACCATCTTACTTTATCGTTCATCTGCACCAAATTTGTTCCACGCTTCCTGGAGAATCAGAACGAAGCAGGTTAGAAACTGATATGCAGCTGGATATAACTCGAGGCAGTGGAATTGATATATTGAAGAGTTGGAGGGAGAGAGAGAAACAAACCTTGAGAAGGTCAAAAACTTTTTCGCAAATGTACTTCTGTTGGGTGGATGCGCCACGTTGTTGAAGCTTGTCGGGATGAACATAAAGAGTTGCCTTTCGGTAAGCTTTTCTCACAGAAGCACTTGATACAAGATCAGTGAGAGGAATTGGTTTCCATCCACTCTCTGCTCCAAGTATCTGCAAACCATCAAAAAGCACAAGACAATAAGCGTTAAAGACTGATCCCTCTGATTCGTGAAAGAGTCGAGAGCTATAGATAGGGGGAGTTAGTTACGTATTGGAGTGTTGAGAGCAATGCTCGCAAGTTGTTTTCCTTTCCATTCGACCACCGTTTCACATCAGCATCAAGAGCTTCCGCGAGCCTCTGCAATTCCAATTAGAGAAAACGAAAAACCAAATCACAAAGATAATATGTATTAGAATTATCTGACGTATACTGTCTATGTAGATTACTCACATTTCTCTCTGCCTCCTCTTTCTGGACTTTGAGATCACGAAGTTTCTTCTCAGCAAGAGCCTCTGCCTGGATTGATGACAACACACAAACATGTTTTAGCAGAGAAAGTGGGATAATACTCAACAGATGAACAGGTGGTGTACATACCGCACGCTCAGATGTTCGTTGGTGTCTCTCAGATCTAGCTTTGCATCTCTGGATTGGCTCACCTTTGGCTTCATCAAGCAAAATGAATGTACAGGTCAGTGTACAGATCAAACATTCTGGAAACGACAATCTATGTACATCTATGGAGACCTACCAGTCTGGTTTGAAGAGCTAGAAGGACCCGAACTTTTGTTCTCTGTACCCTGCTGAAGTATATTTCAAGGCCACAACGTTACATGAGAGATTTGTCAGATAAGTTGAATGAGGATATTCATTAAAAAAGAGGAGTTGAAACTCACAGAAGATGAGGAGCCTCGTCTATCACCAGAAGAGCCAAATGACTTGCTTCCACCATAACTTCTTGTTTGAGAAGTATCAAACTTACCGGACAATGCTTTTTCTAGGGCCCGTTCTCTGGCCTCAGAGAGTACTCTTTCTACAGCAGCGCGCTCGGCTCTGAGTTTGGCTTGCATTGAAGCCTTCTCAGCTGATGATAACTTATCATTTCCCTCAATAGGTGCCGGTGGCTTCTCAGATCTCCTGGGACCATCAGAAGTCACTCTTCGAGGAACTCTTGCCTTTGCTTTCTCCATCGCGGCTTTTCCTGCTCTTTCCTTCGCATCAGCAAACGCTCTTTCCCGGGCTTCACGGATAGCTCTTTCTACCATTGATCTTTCTCTTTCTTTTTCTTTTGCTTCATCTTTCTTTTTCAGATGTTTCTCAACTCGCTCTGCTTCTTTTTGTGAAGCATCAGAAGTAGCATCCCCCTCTTCTTCCAAAGATGATCGACTACTATCCTCTCCCTCATTTTCTTTCATGTTTCTATCTGTTGCTGCGCCAATTTTTTCGTCTCCTTTGGGAAAGGAAGAGGAAGACTCAGCTGGCTCGACATTGTTTCGATCTACTTCCTCCTTTTGACACTCAAACCGGTGCTCTTGTCCCGTCTTATCTTCATTACTCTCTTCACCAAGACTTGTTTCCATGTCATCAGACTCTTCTTTGGTTTCCTCCATGTCTTCAACCTTGCTTGCCTCTCCATCCTGCAGATGACCAGCCAAACTTTCCTCTACATAAGACTTGATTTTATCTTCATCTTCTGCAATGCTCCAACCACTTTGAATTGAATCAGAATCTATTTCTTCAACGTGCTCTTCCGTGCTACTGGCAGCGCTGTTTTTTTCATGTAACTGATTCCTGAGATCGTGCTCGAAGCCAACCTCCTCAGTATGTGAATCACCTTGTCTAGTTTCGAAAGATGACCTGCTGGTGTCAGTATCTATGCTACCATCGTTCTTGGTTTCCTCTGCTAGTTCCTGCGTTTGGTCAAATTTCTCGCAAGATTTGTTTGAATCCGTCTCACTACGATCATATTCAAGCATTTCAGCACGAGAATCTGGATGCTCTCTGCTCTCATCAGGTTCAGAAAGTCTTTGAGCCCAGCCAGCTTCTTCAAATACTTCCGGTACATAATCAACTTCTTGGTCACTAGCCATTCCGGTAGCATCCGGCTCTTCTCCATTTAGTTCACGGACCAAAGACGTTTTTCCATGCACTTCTACTTTACCTTCATCTTCTCTGCAGTTTGTTTTTTGTGCCGACTCCAATTCTTCATCTTCTATGGTATGTGCATAGGCTTTATACTCCGTCTCCACTTCATTCTGTTCATATCTCTCTGTACCAGTAATTTGGCAGTAAGAAGTTTCTTTCCCATTCTCGTCTCCAGAATTTTGATGGATATCCATATGCTCCTTTCCAGTTTCCACTAAGCAATAAGTTTCATCATCTTCCTTCGTAGTATCTGCGGTCTGGAACATCTGCCTAAACATTTGTTTAAGAACGGTCCAATTTTCTTGCAATCCTGAATCACTAGCTTGCTCAGATGTGCCTTCTGTTTCCTCACTATTATCATGGATCCTTACACCTTCCATTTGAAAGGACCTTTGTGTAGTTTCTGCTTCCACACTTGGTAGCTGCCAATGCCTTTTGTTTCCCTTCGGGGCCCTTATCATGTTATAGACGTCTTCCGAGGTCTTCCAAACTCTTCTTCGCCTGGGAGCCTTGTGCTCTGTCTCCTCGTGTATGTTTTCTTGCTCAGGAGTATTTTCTGTCGCAAAAGACACCATAGTTCCAACACTTTCATCTAACTGAGTTTTACTCAAACTCTCATTAGGTTTTGGAATTTCTTCCACTTCCTTTACGTATGGTTTGGTATCATCAGGATCAACTAACATCTCCTGCGGTCCAGAAACTATCTCCTTCTCACCCTCCTGATCTAGAAAATCGTAAGTTGGGTCAGGTTTTTCTTGGAAAACTATTACACCACACTCAGGTCCATCTTCGGATTCACAAGTACTTTTAACTTGCCATCCTGTTTCTTTCTCCATCTCCTCTGAACACCCTTCCGCAAAAGTAGAGATTTTGGATTCAGACTTCTCTTCTTGTTTGGTTTCGGTTTTACTCTCAGTTTGTTGTTGCGGGATCTCCTCCACTTCCCTTAAATAAGTTTCCATGACTGGAACACCAGCTAACATCTCTTGTGAGTCAACTTCTTCACATTGAACCATTTGAGGGAGGACAGATTTCTCCTCCTCTATTGCATGTTTCTCATCTTTTTGTGAAACCTTACTTCCCGTGAAGGCCTCTACAACACCTTTTATTTTACTACCCAACTGTCCAAATGTATAGAAGGGGTTTTCAGTCAGTGGCTGCACCTCTTGTTTCGTACCAGATTCAGATTTGGCTGGTGCAAGGCTTTCTGGCTCCTGCTGCTTACTCTTCATAACTGATTTGAATATCCCTCCAGGTAACTCCCATTGTTTACGACCTCTTCTGGCTTGTTCCTCTTCTAGCTTCACCGCTTCTTGCTCTTCGACCTCTTGCCGCTTCTGGTCTGAGGTTGAATTTAAAACTCCTTCAGGAACATCCCACTGCTTTCGTGCTCTTTTTGCATGTTGATCTCCCTCGCTTGAAATTGATTGTTCAGAAGAGTTCACCACTTCACCGAGGACTTGAGAACTGTTTTCTCTGCTTTCTTCTGTTTTTCCTTCAACTTTTTCTTCCCTTTTGTCTTCGACTTGAGAACTTCCTACAGCTTCGGTTTTTTCTTCAACTTTTTCGTCCCTTTTGTCTTCAACTTGAGAACTTCCGACAGCTTCGGTTTTTTCTTCAACCTTAGGGGACTCATCACAAGTTTTCAGCTTTGCAGAACTACGAAAGCCTGATTTTTTCCTTTCCATCATATGTTTTGCAATATTCATTCTCACTTGAGCCTCTTCTAAAGCCTTTTTCAATGCCGCGGAAGACTCAGCAGCAGAAGAATCTATATCTGTTTCAGCATCAAAGAATGGAGGTGAACTTGGAGAATCATCATCTTCAGCTTGAAACCTCTCCGGAAGCCCTGAATTAAAACCCATTAACCTTTCAGAAGCTCCATTTTCACCATTGAGTGTACGCTGCAGCAAGCTGGAAGGTGGTTTCACATCCCGACGTTCAGCAATAGATCCAGCCTTGAACATGGAATTATCACGCGTACTGCATTCATTTCGATCAAAGATCTTCTCGAAATCAACCTCAGTTTTAGATCTCCGCTTTCTAGAACCCTGGACTTCCTCAACAACACCCTCATTACACAGCTTCTTCTCAACTGATGGAATAGCTGTTTTACTTTCAAGCTTCTGCAACAGACTCGTCTTCTCAACTGACGGAATAGGTGTTTTACTCTCAACCTTCTGCAACAGACTCGTCTTCTCAACTGACGGAATAGGTGTTTTACTTTCAACTTTCTGCAACGGACTCGTCTTCTCAACTGACGGAATAGGTGTTTTACTTTCAACTTTCTGCAACGGACTCGTGTTATCAACCACTTGAGTAGGAACAACCATAACAGGAACCTGACCAGAACGACTAATCCCCTTCTCACTTCCCTGGCCAATCTTCTGCAACGAACTAACGTCACCAACAAGTTGAGTCGGACTAGAACTAGGCACAGTCCGGACCTGAGTAAAATTCGTAGTCCCATTCTCACTGCCCTTGCCAACCTTCTGCAACTGACTAACGTCACCAACCAGTTGAACAGGACTAGGACTAGGCACAGAACGGACCTGAGTAAAATTCCTAGTCCCATTCTCATCCCTTATACCGGTCTGTTGTAACAATATATCAGAATGCTTCATCCTAACCATCTCAGGCGACGAAGTCAGATTCTTAACCTCATTACAAAGATGAACATCAGAAGAAGAGCTTCCACCTTTCCTACGATTCCTACACATTAAAACAACAAAGAGTTCCCCTTTTCACTCAGATTCAACTCTCATCACAACTACAACGAACCCTAGCCAAAGAAAGTTGAAACCTAGGTTTAAAGGCAGTGCCTTTGAAAGGAACAAACCGTAGAAAGTTACCTTCTTTCCTTCCTCTCAGCCTTCACAATCACTTCATCAGGAGTAACAGCGAACTCACAACCACCAAAACCACCAAAACCTCCAAAGACCGAAGAGTAATCAAGCTTAGAGCTCCTCACATCGACTTTAACCTTACCAACGTTAAGCTCAGGGACATCGAGAAACGGAATCGAAGACGGAGAAGGACTCGAGCCACGGAATATCTCCCCGTAATCGACGAGAGGAGACTTCGCGTTCGCGGGGGAAGCGAAAACGCCGTCGTATACGGCATTGGCGCTGAAGCTAAAGCTTTGGCTGTGGCTACGGTTAGTTATCTTTCGGGAGAAAGTAGTGGTCGCAGTCGGAGGCTTCTCGTAGTCCATAACAGAAAACGATGTCGTTAGGGTTTTACGGTTTCTTCTTCCTCCTCCTCTTCTTTGATCTTCTCTCCTCTTTGGAGTAGAAAAAAAAATCTGCAGAGCTTATTAGAGAGAGAGAGAGAGGAGTGAGAGAGATATGAGCTGTGTTTTTATTTTTCCGCGTAGATATTTATTTTATTTAGTAGAAATAAATAAATTAATTAATAATTCGAAAAAGCGCGTGAAAGAAATAATAATAACTGTCCGTAAATAGTTGACAAGTTTAATCACGACTTACGATCTGTTTCATAGTCTCTCTCTCTCTTTAAATAAGTGTCACTTTAGCTTTTTAATTTTGTTTCAAAAAAGTGTCAATTAACAATCCAATGTAATTTTATACATTAAATCTATTTTTTACCCTTTTGAATAACCAATAGTATTTTACTTAAATTATTTTTATTTAATTAAAAATACATTAAATAGGGATATATTAATCTTTTATACAATTTTCTTAATTTATGTGCAAAGAGTCAAAATGACACTTATTTAAAAACAGAGGGTGTATAGATTAGAGTTATTTAAGGATTATTTGAAAAAGACAACTATTTTTTTTAATGTAAAAACGAAACCACACCTTATTTGTATAAATGGTAAATGTTCTTTTCCAAATGCTACCTAAATAACAAATCAACTTATAAAATATTTGTATCATCAGTGCTATTTTGATTTTCTTATTAAGATAAGATGGTTTATTTTTTTCCTTTGATAAAACATATTCCCTCCGTTTCAGAATGATATATATTTTAGAAAAAATGTTGTTTCCAAAAGATTTATATTTTACATTTTCAATGTAGATAATAAGGGCTAATTGTCAATTTTAAAGATATTAATTATGTTTACTGAATTTTGATTGGTTAAAAATCATAGAAAATAATTAAACACGGAAAATAATACATTTATTACAAAATTTTACTTGTTTTCTTAATAAGTGTGAAAATTCTAGAATATATATTATTTTGAAACGGATTAGTAAAAAACTAGAGTTCACTATAACTTTCTAAATCAATAGGTTTAGTCACAATTATCAAACTAGTTGGGTTAGTGTAAAAGTGTGTAGCCAATAATATATTCATGCATGTAGTAAACAACGATTTTGATTGTCTTTGCAATATGAGGAAAAATACGTATAATTAAAACTTTGCTTTTATTTTTAAAAATTTTATATAAAATTATCCTTCAGTTTTATAGAGGGTAATTTAGCCAATTAATTCTTAAAAGTGTAGTTTACAGAAGAAGTATCTTCTACTTTGAAAAAGTATTTTCCCAAATTTTCTCCAATTCTTACTTGGGTAATATAAAAGCAAATAAGCGTTAACATGTGTCGGTCAATCACTTTCATTATGTCCTTAATGTCATTATTATTTAATACTCTAAGATGCCTTAACGTTATAAATAACTGTAGATTAGTAGCCATTTTGTAGTTTTTTTTGTCTTCATGCGACTTTATTTTATGGGTTGGTCTTATAGGAGTATTCATTTGTGAAATCAAAACTATTCCACACGCCAATCTATTTCAGCTTGCAATAATACAGATAAATAGCAGATATGACAATATGGTACGGTGTTTAACATGCTGGACAATGTGGCGTTTTACATGCTGCACAATATGGCCTTTTACATTAGTAAACCTAAAGAAAATTAGAGTCAAATCTATATATGATTGTGAAAAGAAAAAAACAAACACAAATCTATATTATAAGCTGTCATGACTAGTGTATTACAAATTATAAATGATTAAGGATTATATTCGGAATAATATGTAGCATAGTGAAAAGCTATGATTCTCTGTACTCAGCCGACCGTTAGGCATTACTAGGCTCTTGCTGCCGTTGTCATATTTTCAGTATTTTCTTTTCTTTTTTGGCCAAATTTCAGTATTTTCTTGGGTTAATTAACAAATAATATGGTTTATGAACTCAACAAGGCCAATAGTTTTTTTGTCCGTAAAAACAAGGAGGAATATTTTTTTTTTTTACCAAACAAGGAGGAAGATTTGATGAAGTTCTTTTTAGTCAAGTGTTTAATCGTAAACATCTACGAATCCACCGAAGTTCGATTCTACTAAATAGCGATGCTCCGTGTTGTGGGTTTAGATCTAGTCGCGATTCATCTGGTGACAAATAAGGGCAGAATTATTTGTAATTAACTGTTAATCCGGTCCTCAAATTTAAGTATACGCTTGAAATGTTACAATAACAAGGCGGATTTGAGTTTCATGCGATGATTCTTTTATTTTCCTGATTTTAATATGATGATTTATTGAGGTATATCATGCAACAGAAACAAAAATAAGAACAAGAAGGGGTAGAAAGCAAGTGGCGTTTACAAAAGTATATATTAAGCCGTTGTGTATGTCTTTATCTCGAGCGATCACATGGTTTTGATAGAAGACATGGATTCTTGTCACACCAATTTCCCACGTATTCTTATAACAAAAAGAAAACAATACACCATATATTTATACAATTATAGTCCAACGTTTTGAAAATAGAAATGAAACCAATAGTTCCAATAATAAGTCATCATATGACTCAAATTCATGATTTGAATTTTGAAGCTTCCTCTTGGTAACTTGGTTGGTGGGTTCTGGGGATGTGGTCCAAAACTTATAGATTACACAGACTGGTCCAAGATATGTACCACAAAATATACATTTATAACTATAGTCTATAGCTTATAGTATGTGAATTGAATGACCGTATATATGCACACGTTTTGTAGAACTTGTAATGATTCACAGCTTTATAGTCGCTGGCAATCACCAAGAGCCAGAAAGTCATGCATTTCTCGACAAATCCATATGTTATCCAAAATAATATGAACATTATTCACAGGTTGTAAAATCCAAAACATCTTTGCCATTTCCAAGACCCTTCCCTGCAATCACCGCTTTTGAGTGTTTTAAACAGTTAACTATTGCAAAAAAAACAACTAAAAATTAAATATAGGTTTATGTTTAGAGGGTGTTATTGGTTTGTATATTTTAGTGGATTTGAAAATACAAATCAAATATAGTGTTATTAGTTCTATGATTTTAAAATCTATATTCAAATTCATTGTTATTGGTTCTATGATTTTAAAATCTATATTCAAATTCACTGTTATTGGTTCTATGATTTTAAAAAAGATTTTAAAATCAGGTGTTATTCAATAATAATGATTTGCTTAAGGATTTGATTTAAAATTAGATTTGAGTGGATTTATGAGTTAAAAATACAAAGAAACAAATATTGAGTTGAACCTTGTTATTTTGATAGATATGTATTATTGGTTTTCTTAATATTTTTTTCTGGTCCAATTTTTTACGTACATATTGTCTATGTTTCCTTAATAACTATAAGAAAATACTGATATGAGAGTCTGAGACAACCATCATGTTTCACCATCTCTATGTTATCTTAACGAGTATGTAGTAGTACAACATATAATTGTATTAACCAACTATCTCTAGCCTAGCTTTACGTACACGCAGACGTTAATACAAAAATTTACCAAAAAAAATTTCTCATAAAAGTTTTGGTTTACAAGAGTTTTCTGGAGATTCTATTCCATAAAATAAAAAGAGATGTTTAACCATCATCATGTTTTTCTGAAGAATGTTATCGAAAGAATTTTTGGTATATACAAATCTCAATTTTTAATTTTTAAATGTGCATCCCCTTTTCCTTATAAGACACAAACGTATAGAATATTTGTGTGGCCTGGTTTACGTAATTTTCTTCGAAAGTTCTAACGAACCGATAATTTTTCTGAATAAAAAAGTTCCGATGACGAAGAAGATTTTGAGGAAGTTAATAACAAGGGTAAGGAAATTCTTGGAACTGAAGATCAACAAAGAAAACATGTCAATCAAGTGAAAATGGCAATAACAACAAATATGTGATGACTTTTATGTTACCATAATAACATATGATATAGAAAATATTAAAACATACGTTGTAGTTTTATATATATTTTATTTTGTTACAAATTTAAGCTTATCACAAATCCATTTGACAGATTTATAAGAATTCAATTATTTTGATTTTGAAATCTATTTCATTGATTCTAAAATCTACTTATTTGATTCTAAAATGTGTGGATTTGTCAAAAACTTCAAAATCCAAAAAGGATTTCTGAATCTATAAAATACTAGAACCAATAACCCCCACTTATTGTTTCCCTCAGAGGATATAGAACGCAAAAAAAAAAGGTTTAAATTGTTTCCTTAAACAAACATCAAAGAAACATTTTGTATCGGGTAATGGTCCACAAGTGACACTAAATCATTTGTTTAGTGATTACTGATCACATAATGGTACTACCATAATGCGCCAACGAAGGATATATATAATTGTTGATAGTGACTTTCAAAATAGTTGATAAAAAAAAAAAAGTGACTTTCAAAATATGTAGTGATTTATATTATGATTAGGACTAATACGAATCCAAACGAAAATACATCTCAGGAAAAGAAAAATAAAGTAGCAACATTCATGTGCAAGTGTATGTATGTGTGATGTTGACCTCCCCTACTCTTGAGTGTGTAGAAAAATTGCACCTATAAGTTAACATCCAATGCCTAATTAGAATATGAATAAAAGCATATTCACTAATTACCAATTTGTTGTTTATAGAAAATCATTAACATTCACACACCTGTAATTTCATGCAAACCTTTGTTTTCTTCATTAGTATTAACACTTCTCACATCTATAAATTTTAGCATGTAAGTTCACCAAGTGTGTAACGTACAGATATTTAATTTAGAGTTTAAATATTAATTTAGGTCAAGAGGTTTTAATTTTAACTATAAAAATAAGTCATGGAGATAAAAAAAAACTTACTATAAATTAAATAGCTAGACGTAATTATTTATACAACGATTTAGAACAGCATAAATAGAACCGTTAATGTATTTTTTAATAAAAACATGTAAAATTATATTTTTAATAATATTCATGATTTGTAATAGAAAAACAAATTCAAGGTAAAAAGGCTCAAGTATTTTAATGATGGTAAGCTTTTGGGCAATTGAGATCCAACATGTACAATAATACAATAAATAGGGATAATTCCATAATAGAACATTGTGGATTGAGTTCGCCCTAATCCCATTCGCTCTCTGACACAAGAATCGAGGCGCCGCTTAGCTTTTCGTTTTCCGGCGCCGGTGTAGCTGTTGCTCGCCGGCGTCGACTCTGCTCTCTCCCTTCTTCTCGTCAATTGTTCTCTGCTCTTCCTCTTTTTCACACATCAAGTTTCTTTGCTCCAGCTTCTATGGCTTCATGTCATCCTTCTACACCGCAGACACGGCGTCTCCACGGCGGGATTTTCTGTCTCGCCGTCTGGCTCCTCCTCACTGCTCCCTATGTCCGTTGCTCCGTCACCATCATCGGTCGCTCTGTCACCATCGTCGCTGCATCCGCTCACTCCGATACCACCTCCACTCGCTCCATCATCGCCGCTATCTCCGGTTGTTCTGGTATCTTATCTCTGTCCGATCTCCTCGCCGTCGCTCCTCCTCCACTTAGCACCAGTGAGCCTGGATCTACTCAGCCCGAGCATGGATTTGTGAGATCTACTTGTCTCACCGTCGCTGCTGTACATCCACCTGCTCTGCTAACCCCTCACGGCTGTTCCGACGAGCTTTTTGCCTCACCGATTACACCTTACGAAGCTCCTCCCTCAGCCGTTAGCCTCCTCATCTTTGTCGCTGCTCCCGGACCCGTCATCTCCCATATCGAGTGTTCTTCATCAGTAAGGCGGAGTGGTGTCAAGGCTGCTCCCATCGTTACTCGTCACCTCCACACCCCCAATATCACTACGATCTATGTCACCTCCTCTAGGTCATACCTCACCGAGATATTACAGGGCTCTGACCATCTGGTATTTGGTTTGTATGCAGAAGCTTCTTTTGTGAAGCCTTCGTTTAAAGCGACGAGCCCGCCAAAGATTGGTTTTAGATTCAATACTGTTATACTCATTTGCCGCAATGTCTCTGTGATACCCCTTCTCCTTGTCGTCAAATTTACTGTGCAAGAGTGTGGATTCGCCCGATTTAATTGTTACTTTGTTACTAATGCGCATCCAACACATTACGCCGTCTCAAGCATCGACGGTTCTTCACAGAGTCGACAATATGTTTCTCTTACCTCTTTCTTCGTTGCCGTTACTGCTGTACAAGAGTATGGACACGTCAAATCTTCTCACTGCTACATTATCGTTGCGTCTTCATCACATTACGCCGTCTCAAACATCGACGGTTCTTCACAGCATCGGCTTTACGATTCTCCTATCCCTTCCCTTGCCGCACGAACTACTGTGCAAGAGTGTGGACTCGCCAAATCTGCTCGCTACTATGTCATCGCTGCGACTCCAACACGTTATGCCGTCTCAAGCATCGACGGTTCTTCACAGAATTGGCTCGGCAATCCTCTCACCGGAGCTGCTATCTACAGAGATTCACGGACTACCCGCTCTCAAAACCCATTAGATGGGTTCTTCAACGTCTTTTTCGACTTCTTTGCGTTTTTTCGAACGCGGGCTTTAGGACTACAAGTGAAGCTTCTCTATGGGTCTCTTCTCTCCTTAGCCACATCTATCCCTCTTTATATTTTAGTTATCGCTTATCAGTTTACTGTCGAGGATCTCTCTAGTTGTAACCAACTTAGTCCTTTGGACTTTTAAGTTAATATAAGCATTTGGTGTTCAAAAAAAAAAGGGATAATTCCTTTTTAGCTTTTTGAAAGAAAAATAAAAGTAAACGAATGCTTTATGATCGAGAATCTAATTATGCCAGTCAAAGCAAAAACAGAATGGAGCCTACCAAAAACAATATAGCGTCATTATTTTCGGGCTTTACAATTAAGTAATATATATTTCAAGCTTTTTGATAGGCCATGGCATCATGAAACCTAATCTGCCATGGCTTTTCCAAGTTTTTATTTAAAGTGTTTTCAGTTGCTTTCTTGCTAAAAGTAGTCTCTGAGAGAATCTCCGAGTCATATGCATTGCATATTCACACCCAACCACATGCTTACTTCGCTGTGTTTTGAACAAGACATGAATATAAGACCATCATCTCTTCATCCAATGTAAGGGCCCATATTATGAACCTCTAAAGCAGCGTATAAGGGCCCAGATTACAATCTAACTAGCGACCAAAAAAAATCATCTCTTGGATTTGATTTACAGCCTGCAACATGTATTTTATATGCATACATACATCTATGATATTGCAAAATAGACATTCAAGGATATAGGCGTTGTCTTTTTTTTTTTCTCAAATTGAATTCTTCTTTTCTTTGCTAGAAATTTTATAAAAATAATCCAAAATAATATTGCTTCTTGAAAAGTATACCTTAAGATATATATATATATTTTTTTTGAAAATTACTATTTTCTTAGTGCAGAATTACTAAAATATCATTAATAAGAGTTTAAATTTCTTATATATATATATATATTATATAGATGTTTCTTAACCAAGTTTTTATCAATACAAAGTGAATTAAAAAAAGCTATGGCCACTACGGTATTTCAAATCAGGCGTTTGCCATGTCATTAATTCAATTATCTCTTTCTATTTTAATTAGCACTTTTCGTTGCTGCACTATTCTTTTTATCTCTTGTATCACTGTTGCATTAATTAATCCAACAAGATTTTTAAACTAAGTACCATTAGATAACTAACACTTTAACTATGATTAGAGCGTGGGTGTTTTTTAATTTTTAAATTAATATTTGATTTATAAAATATAGTATATATTTTTAATGTTCACCTGTATTAAATAATTATTTAATAGATTATTTTTAATCTTCCAGAGAATGATTACTTCCAATGTGATCATGTTCATCTTGTGGTTGCGATAGAAGTTATATATATTCAGTAAGTATTTGTGTTCCTAGGGTTCACCATCACTAAAGCATAAAAGATACTATAGAATCTCTCAACCCATAAACGTTCAATACATGAATCTCTATAGCCTTTTTTGTATACTCAGAACATTCTAACATATATTTCAGGCATTAGAACAACCGATGAGAAGTCAAATAATTCTTCTAACATGGAGCTGCAAAACCACCTCTGAATGGAGTCGCTAATTTCCAAGATCAGATTTCTTCAGTCAATATAAGTGTCAATTAAGAATATGCATTTGTGACTATGTTAGTGTCGATAAATCAAGAAAAGATAACGACGTGTCAATTAAGAACAGATTCTTAATGTCATTTTGATTAGAGTATTACATATGTTTGATTTTTTTTTAACACAGATGCTTGATGTTTTAGTCATTTCTGATGTGTAAGTTATCATTTATATTTAAAAATTAGTTATATCAGCATACTTATGGAGTAAGTATCACATATTTTCAAACTGACATGTAACATGCTGATTGATCCTTTACTGTTCTTCGTGTTTGAGGATCGCTTCTCATACGACTTTACTGCTCCTGATACATTCGTTACGGTCGGAACTCCAGTCTCAACCCCAGTCGTAAGCATTAAGGTACATATTTTTTTTGATTTATTGTTTAATTACACATCGATTTATTGTCAAGATTATATTGACTGTTGTTTTTCTGTTTTGGGTGTGTTTGAAATTTAACAGAGCCCCGACGGTGACGTGATCGACTGCATAGATATCTACAATCAACCGGCGTTTAGTAATCCACTTTTGAAAAGCCAACAAAATTAATTTTCTTTATTAAGAATCAATTAGACAATCACTCTAAATCTGTTTATTTTTCACTAGTTCAACTGCATTAATGATTATTAAAAATAATTTTATAAAGTTAATTGTATAGCAATATTTATTAATATTATTACCAACATTTTGATCTTAATTAATCATAATTTATTAAGATCAATTGTTAATAGAAAATCTCACATTTAAACACTAATAATTTCTTTAAACTTTATTAATTTTTATTCTATTTTTATTTATTTTTACTTATATTTTTATTAATATTTACTTATATTTTATTAATTTTTACTTATATTTTTATTATAAATTTTAGTTATATTTATAGGATTTTATTAAAGTTTATATGTAAATATAATTTATATTTATTTGATAACAATAATATTCGTAAAAACCTTCGTGTTATTTATATAACTTTTATGAACAAATATGTTACAGTAATTGAGAAATAACTAAGCAAATCATAATAGTTAGCTATAGTGGAGGATCCTCCTGTAACGGGAAAACAAACAACAACATCTAAAATTTCAATGAACAAGCTAAGAAAGAAAAAAAAAGCATTAGAACATCTAAGAGAAGGGTGTAATATGCGTGAGAAAGAAGAATTTGGAGCACGGAAAATGTTGCTATTTTACCTCATAATATTAGAAACGACACTACCAAGTACTAACAATGTTATTTACATTGTGAATGGCCAAAACCAGTACGCGATCGGATATAATAAAACCGAGGGCCGATATACGGAACAAGGGCAACTCTCAACGTTTGGAAGCCGCTAGTAGAAGCAGCAGATGATTTCAGTTTATCTCAGGTCTGGCTTGCAACGGGTCTTTCGCCAATGGAGATGTGAACACTGTCGAAGCGGGTTGGCAAGTTAGTAGGAAAATTGTTTTTTTCTATAATAAGTATCAGTACTTGATAGTTTAATTACTATAACTTGAAACTGATGCAAGTGTATTTTTTTACCTATTTAGATCAATACAGAGAGGTATCACGACCACCAGGCGAGACTTTTTACATTCTGGACAGTACGCAATTTAATATTTTAAAATATGCTGTTATTGTCATACATAACTCACCGAAACATAACACAACTAAAATGTACGCAGAGAGATGCGTATAACAACACGGGATGTTATAGCACACACTGTGGGGGATTTGTTCAGACCAGCAGCACAATCGCCCTTGAAGCTGCCATCATTCGCACCTCTACATTTGGAGGCCCTCAATTTGCCATCACGATTCAGATCTGGAAGGTAGAATAAACATTAATTTTTTAATTTTCTTTGGTTCCTTTTCTGTCATGTTATATGTTTACTAACATTTAAATGAACAATAATGAAGGATCAATCTTCTGGGAACTGGTGGTTAGGACTTGGCCTCAACATGGAGCTAGTTGGATACTGGCCAGGTGCAATCTTTACAGGCCTAGCTGACCACACAGACACGGTCGAATGGGGAGGCAAAATTCTGTCCCAAAACAGTGCCGGCGCAAACACCATTGTTCAAATGGGATCGGGCGAATTCACTTAAAAAGGCTACAGAAAAGCTGCGTACGTATGTGATATCCTCGTTGCCGAGAACAACCAAACTTTGCTTCCAGTCCAAGATTTTGGGGTACATGCTCAATTCCCAAAATATTATTCATTTAAAAGGTCGCAAACTAAATTGGTATATATTGTAATATATATGAAGTGTGTCTATCAATTTTTAAAACATAATTATTTTATTGTATATTTTTATTGAAAAAAATGTTTGAAACTTTCACATGTATTTGTATCTTCATCTATATATATTTTTTGGATTATTATTTCATTATTGAAATCATAACTATATATACAAAGTTTGGTAAAATATTGTTTTATTGTCATCTTCAAAGATATTGTAACATTTCACAAATTTTTAAATTTTTTAAAAAATTAAACTTGTAGCTTCACAGATTTATATTATCGAGTATTAATAGTGAAAAACAAAAGTAATCTTGATTTTTTTTTCATATGTTTTCGTAGAATGATTTTATTTTATCATTGATATGGGTATTATAAAAGTGATTTTATTTTATCATTGATATGGGTATTATAAAAGTAATATATATATGTGTCGTCTAAGAAAAAGAAAGAGTAATATATGTTAATCATACAAATTGGCGTTAAACCAAAAGAAATAGTAGTTTTCTTAAAATATAACTGTGAGATAACTTAGTTCCGATCGTTAAGGAAATAAAGCAGATTATTAATAATGTCTCTTATTTAATATCGTGATTAATAATGATTAAAAAATGTAATATAACTCTCATTTCTAAGAATAGGTTTAAAATTTTAAATATCACATACGAAATCAAATCATGACTTCAATTTTAATATAAAAGATTTAACGCTTCAATATTCTGACAATGCTGTTTCTCAAGAAAAAATGTTTTTCTTTTGGCTAAAAAACATCGACATTATCTCCTTAGACTATTCCCAATTTATAATTGTTCCATTAGATTAATGATTTACAAAATCTTAATAGTACCCCTCGTAAATACATCTAGAAAAAAAACTAAGTGTGAAATATTAAAATATATAAAACTAATTACAATAGAATGAAAACATTAGAAATTCCCAAATAAATATGAGCCCTATAATTTTCCTACTTGTAAGGCAATCTCTTCTTCTCCAACTGGTGACCTCTTCTTCTCCAACTGGTGACCTCTTCTTCTCCGACTCTACTCCGGTATGAATCTCTTCATTTCCGGTCTAATGCCTTCTTCTTTCGTTTTGTTAGCTTGATTTCTCATGTGTGATAATCTCTTGCTCCGTTCTTCTACTGCCTAACTATCCGCAGTTTTATCATCGGCGGCTGGAGGCTACTTGTGTGATAATAAAGGCGGCACAGCTCGGTCTTAAGACAGCTCGGCATCGCCTGTCGGTGTTACAGGTGTGTATCCTTTTAGTGTTGGTTGTGCTTGAATCCATGGAAATGGAACCTTTTGATTATTCTGCACCTCTCATCAATTTTGTTCATCATTATCATGAAAAGTTCGATGATACTCACATTTGTTTTTTATTGTGTTAGATGAACCTATACTACATATTTATCTATTAGCTAGTTTCTGTTGAATGAAACTTCTCTGAGAGTCTGAGACTGTCAACATACGTAACACTTTTCTTTTTGGTCATTTACTTACACAAACGCAGCCAAAAACAATCCCAAAACTTACTGGACATAATTATCACAAGAGTGTAAAAATGTTTTAGATAGAGAAATAGAGACAATTGGTAAACCGTGACGGATCTAAGAAAATTTATAGTCGGGAGCATTATCAAAGAATTTGAATTAGCTGAGGGCACTATCGTACGATTTGATTCAGTTAGAAGACAATGTTTCCTAACATAGCAGCGATAACACTAGAATTCCTCTTTAAGTTAAGGGGGCAGGACATAAGAGTTTTAAGACCCTCGTATATCATGAAGCCATGAACCACTTTGTAACATTCAGGCAATATCCATGAATATACTGATTTAATTGCTTTCATTTAGAACTAATTTAATTTTAAATTTAAATTCTTAAATAATAATAATGGAAACAGTTGTAATTACTGAAAATAATACTAGGTACTAATGATTCCTAAAAATAATAATGGAAGTTGATATATGATTCATTGTCAAACGACTATTTTGATCATCAGTAAATATCATACTTTCGGGGAAAAAGTACTAGCTATTATAAGAGTTTTGATGATCTTTCACTAGTCTAATAATACAGCAATGAATGTGTATCAATCTAAGTACCTTTCTCAAAGTTTTACAAAAGATAGGAAACAGAGGTAAGACTCTTTGATAAGACACAAACGCATACCCACACACGTTTCTTTATCATTAGAAAGACTCGCATTTTATTGTTGCAATATGAAACTCGGATCATGGTCGTGGTAATTTAATTTAAGCGTTTTACTAATTAAATTTCTCAAGCGAAGTGACTGAGATACTCCTCAATGCTTGCGTACTTGACATCAGGATAAAGCTCACAAGCTTCAACACCAAGCGTAGGCTCTATAGTGAAATTGGTCTGATCTCCCTTCACAAAAACCGAGTGGTTTATCGACAGAAGGATAGTCGCAGGAACAACCGGAGACACTGCCAAAAAAATAACAAATCTTTTTTTAATATTCAGCTAACTAAAAAAAGAACATATCTATAGTGATGTGGTTTTGATAAAAAAGAAAAAAAAAATCTATAGTGATGTGGTTTAAATCTTTCAAAAAAAACCTTGGATGGTTTTGAGCACTTGTTCTTCTGACATGTACGTCTTCTCAAGTGACTTGCCAATCTTTTTCTCCCACAAGGCGACAAGTTCGTTCATTGATAGAATGTTTTTAGGAGGATTAATGTAGAGGGTTTTGTTTAAAGTCCTTGGATCATCCACTGCCCTAATCATGTAAGCAGCAACATCTTCCTCCTTGTTGAACACAACTACAAAAACACAATCAAAACGTTTTTTTTTATATTAAAGTCTTGATTAAATTTTAGTACACTCAGAGTCCTAACCTTTGGCATTTCCGTCGCCCAAAATGGTGACTTTGTCTCTAGGAGGAGAAGTAACACCAGGCTGAAACTGAACCAACGTGCGCAAGTACAAACCCGCAGCACAGTTGTTAACAACGTAAGTATATGGTATTCTTGCAGCTTCTACGGCTCTCCTGATCTGTCTCTTCGCTCCAAAAACTAATGAATTTGCCGGCTCAACCGCACCTGTCTTGTCCACGTCTGTTCCAAACTCAGACGGCAAGAATCTCTGTAAAAGCAAATCCATGGCCGGTTCAACATTTTTTACTGGCCGGAAAAATATAACTCTTCAAATTTTATTTTACAAAAAGGTTTTACTAGAATTTTGTTTTAGAATAATTTTTTTCTAAAATTTATAATAAACTAAAATATTTAGATAAAATATTTTTTGCGCCGTTTTTTAATATTTCATTTTTTTGGTAAAAAACATACATATAAATAATTTATTATGGTATCTCCGGAGTGGTCGTACCATTTGTCCCTATCTTTAATTGGATCATGTGTGAATGATTTAAAATAAAAACCAACCTTGACGTTACCGGCTTCTTTAATGGCGGAAATGATCTTGGTTTGTTCCAACAGTTGCACACGTCCAACTGTTGATATCACAACATCGACCTGTTTCATGGCCTTCACTAAACTCTCATGATCATTCAAATCTCCCTGAACAAGTTACATAACTAGGTTGTGGTTATGATTTTAAGTAACATTGTTAGAGAATGATAGAGTTCACACGTACATGTAATATTGTAACGCCTAGATCTTTGAATCTCTGTACGGTTTTGGCCTTGACAGGATCTGAAAGAGAAGCTTCTCGGACAAGAGTGAATGTCGGGTTTCCTGCTTTTGCGCTCCCTTCGACCATAAACTTTCCGGTGTAACCAGTGCCTCCGATCACCAGAACTCTGCTTTTCTTGCTCGCCATTGTTTGAAAGGTGATAAATGAGTATGGAGGGTTCAAATGGTATCTAGAGTAGAGAGTGATTTGGAACGTGAGTGAAGGTATGGCTTTGGCAGGGCAATTTATGGACCCATAACGTTAGTTAGTAGTTTACAATAATACCCTCATCGAACCCATGCTATACGTGCAGGATAGTGACTAATGAATGCGTATTGAATGATACATTATAAAGACATCATGTGTACCAGATTTTTTTTCCTCACGAAATAATATATGTTCTGCAGTTAAAATACAAAAATACACCAATAAGGCATATCAAATCCATTAGCATGCAAACAATATGTGACAATTCTTTAAATAAAATATATATGACGACTCTGAGAGAATATTCTGTGTTCTTGAGATTCCAATCATTCACAAAAAATCACATAATAAGAAAACAAATAGGAATCATGCCTAAGAAAAGTCTTGTTCTTATGATTGCCTTGGGACCTTATCACAATTCTCCATCTTAGTTATGGGGTTATCACTCGTCATAGCAGAAGCTTCACCCTTCCAGATCCACAAGTTATTCAAGCTATCTTCTAGTAGTTAAACATTCTTCAAATTAAAATTACTTCATGGTCAACCTTTTGCCAACATGCCATCAAGATCCTTAGAAGTGCCAATTGACAACTCTACCACATGTTATTCAGGCTGGTTTAACAAAGATTATATATATGAAGTACGTACAAATATGGAAACTATGTTTGATATCAAACTTTTTAATTATATCTCGTCATTAGTTTAATTTTCAATTAATAACACAAATTAAAACAAAATGACTCAAAACCATTTCCTAATAGTTCCAACAAGCTTATGGAGCTAATAATAGATGGATGCCATCTCTGATCTCAGGAACTCCATAAAATAGGATATCATGCATACTATATAATAGTAATTCATATTAAATCGAAAATAGAGGTAAAAACTCTGTGATCAGTGATCCCACACGTACAAAGACACAAACATAGACACACATTACTCCACCATTACAAGAACGAACTTTTATTTTTTAAATATATGAAACTCGCCTCTTGGACGTGGTACATTAGGTGTTTTTAAATCTCTTTAAGCGAAGTGACTGAGATACTCCTCAATGCTTTCGTACTTGACATCAGGATAAAGCTCACAGGCTTCAACACCGAGCGTAGGATCTATAGTGAAATTGGTCTGATCTCCCTTCACAAACACCGAGTGGTTTATGGCGAGAAGGACATTGATAGGAACTGGAGACTCTGTGCACAAAAAAATTAGAACCATCATTTTTTTAGTTTGGCAAATAGAAATTGCATATTAAAAAAAAAATCTAAAAATGACTAGACCTTGGATGAGTTTAAGGACTTGCTCCTCGGGGATGTAAGTCTTCTCAAGAGACTTGCCGATCTTGGTCTCCCACAAGGAGACCATTTCGTTCATCGATAAAGTGTTCTTAGGAGGATTAATGTAGAGGATTTTGTTAAGAGTCCTCGGATCATCCACCGTCTTGATTGTATAAGCAGCAATATCTTCCTCTTTGTTGATCACAACTGCAAGAGAAAACGGTTACAAATAAAAAAAATCTCTTAAAATTTGACAGACTCCTAACTACTTTAATGACTTTTACACGAGTCTTTCAAAATTTTGATAGATTTTCTATTTAGATATTAATACAAATTGGTGAGAGCCTCATCGTGACAGATTCACCGGTCACCAGTACTGACCAACAATGATGGCTTTATATACCCTTTTTTTATAACGTCTGATTTTCATTAATTATGAATTGTGTTTACATAATCTTCATGGAGAAGATTAGTAAATGAAACATGGAACATAATAATGAAACCGATAGATATCATGATATTTTAAATATACTTATTTAATGAAAAGTATATTTAAACCGATAGGTATAATTATGGCCTTGTATACTTATTTTAAATATCTGAAAAGGTATTTTGTTATGAGATTTAATTTGTCTATCTTCTTTATTAAAAGAGAAGTACCATTTATATCTACTATAAAAAGTCATGTTGGACTATCTCATAGTCATATTTAAGTATTTATGTTAATCAATCAAATATATATAATGGGATGAATATTTTAATAATAATAGGATATTAGTAATAAATTTGTTGAGAAAATATCTAACAAGATCTTACTAAGAAGTTTAAATATTTTTATAATATATGCATTATTTAATTTCGTGATTAATATATATAAATATTTATATTAATGTTAATGAAAAATAAAAAATGTTATATTTTATAATTTAGTTATATTCTGTATTATATTAAAATAAAATTCTATTTGAAATGAATATAAAATATATTAAACTGGTAAAGAAAAATATTTTATTTTTAAAAAAAAATATTTTATTCAAATAAATAAATAAATATCACTCCCTTTTAAAACATATTAAAGTTTTTAAATTATATATATTTTTATACAAAAATGTTAACATATATTTTTGTAACTCACAACAAATACATTATATAAAAAATTATTTATGAATATTTTTTTTTATTTTAAAACTTACAACAATATATTATAAAAATAATTAAAATTATAAGATTATACAATTATACAATATATAACAATAAAATATAAATTATATATATTTGAAATGTTTTTTATATTTTTATAAAATGGAAAAATACCCGCACGGATGTGCGGGTTCAAAATCTAGTTTAATATTATAAAAGTTTACCTTTGGCATTTCCATCGCCCAAAATTGTGACTTTGTCTCTAGGAGGAGAAGTGAGACCAGGCTCGAACTGAACCAACGTAGGCAAGTAATAACCAGCAAAGCAATTGTTAACAACGTAAGTATATGGTACTCCTTCAGCTTCGATGGCTCTCCTGATCTGAATCTTCCCACCAAAAGCCGATTTCGCCGGCTCAACCGCACTTGTTCTGTCCACGTCCGTTCCAAACTCAGACGGCAAGAATCTCTATACAAAACAGCAATAACAACAACAAAAATCTAGTATGAAACTATGTAACAAATATAATTTTCTATAACTATAACCTTTTTCATCAGTTCGTATACTAACTAATTATATGTAATGGGTTTAAATCATATACCAACCTTGACGTTACCAGCTTCTTTGATAGCAGAAATGATCTTGGTTTGATCCAAGATTTGCATGGTTCCAATACTCGATATCACCACATCGACCTGTTTTATTGCCTTCACTAGGCTCTCGTGATCGTTCACATCTCCCTGCACAAACCAAACGGTAACTTTTAACACAAGAAACCGTTTTATTACATAAACTAGCAGGAAAAAATAGAGTTTCAACACGTACTTGTAGTATTGTTACGCCGAGATCTTTGAAGTTCTGGACGGTTTTGCTCTTGACCGGGTCCGAGAGAGAGGCTTCTCTAACGAGAGCGAATGTTTGGTGACCAGATTTAGCGCTTTCTGCGACGATGAACTTCCCGATGTAGCCAGTTCCTCCGATCACAAGAATCTTGCTTTTCTCAGTCGCCATGTTTCTTGATAATAAGTGAGTATAGTGCGATGTGAATGCTATAGAGAGAATGATTATGAATGTGAGTGAAGGAATGGCAATTTATGGACCATACAGTGGTTATTTGATTTACGATTATAGCCTTACCAAACTCGCTTCTGTTCTAAGATATTTTATTCCATGTTTCTAGATTTCTGTCTACCTCAAACTTTAATCTATCTGTACTTTGATATTATTGAGAATCATATTGGTTGGTTCAAGATACCTTTGTTTTGTTGGGCGGTGTTTTCTTTTTGTTGTAAATTCTTCATAGCAACTCTAAATTGTTTCATTTATTACAACAATGAACCTTTGCTTCAATTCTAAGATTTTATCTTTTGATTATACCTTGTCAACAACAAACTCTGGTTTGCTTACATTCAGATTTAAATTCTGTTTTGGTGATTTAAATATCTATTTTACTCTAATCAACTGATGAGATTTGTGTGTGATACATTTTTAAGGTACTTATGTCTAGATGTCATAAGTAGGCATAACTGCATAAGTATCTAAATGTTTTCACACAAAAATGGTAATAAAAAAATAGAGTAAACGACACTGTAAACCAGTCAATACAAGTACTGTATAATTCTTGAGTAAATATACTGATAAAACAGATATTAACTCTAACTTATACTATTATTTAGATTCAAATAGCCGTCAAAAAAAACTTATTTAGATTCAGATATAATTTAAAACTGTATTAATATAATTTCTTATTCAGCTTGTTATTACAGACCAGACGCTGGTTGAGATACTCATCGACTTGTGTACTCAACATCAGGATAAAGCTGAGAAGCTTCCAATCCAAGTGAAAGCTATATTGTAAACCAGGTCTGATCACCTTTCACAAAGATGGCATGATTCAAAGCTAACAGAAGATCTAGTGGATGTGGTGACTCTTCATAAACATCGTTTTCCAGGTACATTAGCAAAACACATGATCTTGATTTTTAATTCACAGTATAAAACTATCTCACCTAGAATTTTCTTGAGGAGTTCTTCCTCAGAAACGTAATTATTCTTCTTCAGAGTTTTACCAACTCTTTCTAAAATACCAAAATTTGGAAAAAGCTTTTATGGTGATCAAAGCTTCTAGATGACACACGTTTGAAAGACTCTTTTGGTGGTTTAAAATTAGTTATATACTAGTATCATACTTTCTTGTTTAAGAGGAAATCATCTATAAAAATTCCAAATAAAAAATGCTCCACGTTCTAAACATATAATGGTGCGATTCATTGAATAAACAACAACATATGCACAAATCATACTCCATGTTCTGTTGTGTCCTTTTGCCAATGATCAAATGGAGCATTTTACAATTTTACATAATTAAACATTTACATATTTCTTAAAAATTATTACATAATTAAGTGTTCTCTATATCTTTGTCTTTACAGGTAAACCGGCAACCATGTCTCCTAGGCTTGGAAGGATTCCCCGGATCCGACTCACTCGACTCTGCAAGTAACCCTCTCAAGCATCTCCTCCTCACCCTCGGCTCATACTTCATCTTCTCCATCACCGGTTTTTTCTCCACCACATTCTCCGGTGGACTAATAATAGTTTCATCCTTCTTATTAGATTTTTCAAACTTCATATTCATATGAATTCCTGGATCATTCTGTTGCACTGAACTATCGCATATAATCGAGTTGTTAACCCCTTGACTGTTTCCGTTTACGTATGCCCTAACCCTAGCGTCTTCTTTTTCGTCTTTAGGGTTAGGTTTTGTTCCTCCTTCTGTTTCCGTAGCTGTGGTCTCAGGGCTCTCGTCTGGATTAGATTTATATCCACGGCGAATATGAACCTCACCATCTTTCTTGTCTTTTCCTGAACCTATTGCCATTGTGGCTCCTCTGTTTTCCCCTGTTAGGGTATAGACACTCACGGATTTCTCGTTGTCACCGTTGCTTTTCCCCCAAGTAAGCTTGCTGAGTCCGTCTCTGATGTCTTCTTTGATCTTTCTGCTCATTGACGATGATCCTTCTTTGGAATTTTGATTATTTTCATCGGTGTGATTCTCTATTCTGTTTTGAGTGTTTCTGATTGGTAGATCCTTCGACCCTCTCGAGGATTCTGATGCTGCGGTGATATGTTGTGTTGTTTTGCTTTGCGTTGCGTCTTCTGTACCCACCGTTTTAAGAGATGTTTGTCTTTCTTCCGCCGCAAGTTTCTCTGTTGCTTTTATCTTCTGTTGTTCTTGACCTGCTTTCTTTTCTTCCGAGGCAAGTTTCTCTGTTTCATTTCTCTTCTGCTCGGTTTCCTTAGGCCTCAGCTGTTCCTGAGATGTCATTGAAGTCTCGTTCATGTCGTTTTGAAGAACTTTCTTCTTTTCTTCCACCGCAAGTTTCTCTGTTTCTTGAGCTGTTTTTGTTTTCTCTTCAATGCTCTTTTGAAGACCTTTCTTCTTTGCTTCCACCGCAAGTCTCTCTGTTTCTTGAGCTGTTTTTGTTTTCTCTTCAATGCTCTTTTGAAGACCTTTCTTCTTTGCTTCCACCGCAAGTCTCTCTGTTTCTTGAGCTCGTTTTGTTTTCTCTTCCATGTCCTTTTGAAGACCTTTCTTCTTTTCTTCCACCGCAAGTTTCTCTGTTTTTTGAGCTGTTTTTGTTTTCTCTTCAATGTTGTTTTGAAGACCTTTCTTCTTTTCTTCCAGTGCAAGTTTCTCGGTTTCTTTACTCTTCTGAGCTGTTTTTGAATCTTTATCTACCACCGCAAGCTTCTCTACTTCTCTCATTTTCCTCTGCTCTTGAGCTTCTTTTGCTTCTTTTTGTTCTGAACGTGCACCCTGAGGCTTCTCTACTACCGGATTGCTATTCTCACCAGCTTCTTTTTTAACTTCTCTCGATGGCTGATCTTTCATCGCCACCTTTTGCTCCTCTGCCCTCTCAGGTTTCTTCGCCGGAGAATCAGAATGGTTACTCTGTTTCGCCAACCGAGAGGGCGTGGCTGCACCGCGAGAAGGCAACTGAGACGCAGAAGAAGAAGAAGCTGCAGTGGCAGCAACATTGCTTTTAGCCCTAGAAAGCGAAGGTGACACCTTTGGCTTTGTTTCTAGTGACGTGGCTGGCTTTGACGGCTGAGCAATGCCACCGGGACGAAAAGGAGGGCGTGAAGTTGGAGGAGGAGTTGGTGGTGGTGATGGAGAAGAAGTCCCTGAAGAGGGACGAGAAGGAGAGCCGTAAGAGAAGAAAGGAATGTTAAAACGGAAAGGAGGCATGATGGTGTTATGGTAAAAGAGATGTCAAAGTGGGTGAAACTGTTAAAAAGAGTGAAGATAAATTTTTTGGTGTGTCTTAATTTGCGTGTGTGTGTGTTTGTATGTATATGTGTGGTTTTGTGTGTGAAGAGGAAAAGATAACTTTTCATGCAGGGAAAGTAAAGTGATCGTTTTATCCAGTGAAGTTATCTTTGGAATCTCTGTTCGATTAATGCTTCTACTACTTAGGTTTACAGAGAGCTTTATGGAGAAGCAAAGAACAAACAGGAAACCTTGAACTGAAGACGAGATAATTAATTTCTTTGAGTCCTCTTGAAACAGTTGTTTACTATTGCAAAACAAAATCATATTTTAATGGAGAGAAAAATATTAACATAGTGAGTTTTTAGATAATAGTGGTAAACGGTGACTGACATATTTCAGGCCTCTCAAGTTTTTTTAGCCCTATTAGAGAGGATGCGTCAAAAGAGAAACCCACCAAAACCTAAGCCTATCTTTTTTTTGGATCCAACCTAAGAGCACCCCCATCAGTGAACCATGGAGGGAGGTTCATAAGTAATAAAAAATTAATTTTTTTTTCTTTTTTGTTTGCTTTTTTTTAAAAAATAAAAATAAAAAATAATAATAATGGACCAATCGCGGACCGCCACGTGGCGCGGGACCCGCGTAACAGTGTTGATACAGGTTCATGAGGAAGAGCTTTTGGAGTACAGGTTTATACAAAAAAAATCTTTTTTTATTATTTTTTGTTGTGGGGAATTGTGTGACCCCCCCCATTAAATACTCCAATGGGGTGCTCTAAACGGGCTAAGCCTATCTATTTACAGATTTGGGAGAGGAAAAATGAAACAAAGACTTGGATTCTATAGTTCTTTATATTATTATATGTTCAAGGCATAGGCCAGAGGATGAGAATTTGAAGAAAGAGAGAGTTCGCCCTAGAGAGATTATAACCACGCCGCCGCCGCTATCACCCCTCGACGCCGGTAAGGCCACTGGCCGCCGGCGTCGGGCTCTCTGTTCCGTCCATAGCTCTTTAACGTCTTCTCTTTTTGTCTACGTCGTCTTCAAATTCTTCACGTCTTTTTCTCTCGTTGTCTCCTACGTAGCTTCTTCGTCGGGTCTTTTCGCCGTCATCCTCTTCCCTCTTCCCCGGGTCACCACTGCATCTCCTGTTCGTCTCTTTGTCACCACACATCCTCTCCGAGCAAGCAGAAGCAACGAAACTCGCACCAGATCTGCTCGCCGTTTTGTACTCGTTGAGCCTCTGTTTGCTTCGTGTCTCTCAGGCGGTGGCTCCTCCATCTCCGACGACTCTCCCAGTCGTGTTTTCATCTTGTTCGAGCTTTGCTTTGATGCAGAGCCAAAGCTTCTCTCTAGACTGAGGTCGTCCTTCTCCGTGAGACAAGTAACATTGAACTCCCAGAAGATGATTTCCAGATCTGTGGCTATTGATGATTTTGAGATTCATTTCCAAACCAGTTCGATAAGGAACGCTCAGTTGACACCGTTAGTGTTGACTCCTTCAACACTCTCAAGAAGACACTCTTCCAGATCCAAGCCGGGTCCGCAGCAACAACGAAAGCTTCAAGAACTCTGGTTTATACCGACGAGTCCAACCGGACGTGATGGAGTTGTTCCGTCATCTTTCGCTGGAGTTTTTATACGACCAATACCCGATGCTCTGTTCCGGTCATCCAACAACGACGCAAACGCGTTCAGTTCAATTGGTTTTGTGGTTTGTTTTGTCAGATATATCTTGGTAATACTTTACTGGTCCCGGCACGGTATTGTCGAGGTACGAAGTATAGAACTGAGTTCAATGTCCACTCTGCCACAAAAGTTCAATAGTTTTAGAGTCTATATGAAGATGAAGATGTCTCCTTTCTCAGATTGTTCAACCGTTACGACCAGGGTTCACCTAGCCCAAATCAGGGATATTGTGTTCAAGTTGAAGACTATATTTGTTAAGTCATCAAAGGTCAGTAAAGTGTGTAGTTGCTCTGCTACTGTAACTAGCACTATCCGGTTCCTTAGTTCATCCTCTCTGTTCGTCAGCGCCAAATCCAGGATTGTTATATCCGCCTTTTATGTTGAGATTCACCTAGTCTCTTCAAGGAGTCTTTTCATTGGAGCTAGAGCTTGTCTTGCTCGTTCCGCATCTTGCCAAGCTTTGCAGCTTGGTCAATTCAACGTCGCTTGCGACTATTTCATGCTCGGGATAACCTATTCAAGGATGCATCTGATGATTTTCCATGGTTCTCCTTCTATCGAGCAAGCATCTCTCGTAGTCTTTGTTTATCTCTTGTTCTCCTTTTATGCTCTGCTTTATGTTGTTCATCAAACCGTTGAAAATCCCTCCGGTTCTATCTTTTCGGATGTAATCGTTTGAACCTTTTAGATTAATATAATCGTTTGTGTGCCAAAAAAAAAAAAAATAGTTCTTTATATTTGTAGCTATGAGAATTTTATCAAAATTCTCTAATTTAGAACTGCACTGTGTACACTATCAACTATCAAAGCACATTAGGCCACCATTATCACAGGCTCTTAGTTTTAGAGTTTTATAAAAAAGAAAATTAAAATTTGTGGGTCTCATCGTTTACAAGTTTTCATTTCTGGAATCCAAATAAAGATCGATTTTGGTGGGTTTTTGTACTGTTCGCGGATGCCACCAACACGTAAAAACCCGTAATTGATTTTTTTTTAAAAAAAAAAATTCAGACAAGAAAAAAAAATTAAGAAACCCTTTCACGATTTTGAGGGATAAGGCCATTGTTATCCATAAAAACCCTTTGGGTTTCTAAAGTTTTTTTGTCTAAGAAATTTTTTCTAAAACAAACCATTCACGGAACGCCACATGTCAGTAGAGCCCGTGAACAGTGCAAGAAACCCACAAGAATCGGTTCTTAATTAATATTTTTTGTAATCGATTCTTATACTGTTCATGGGATCCACACAATAAAAATTATCTAAGAAACTCACTAAGAAACCTCAATAATGATGCTCTAATGATGACCTTAGAACCCTATAACCATATTTGGATTCGTGATTAATCCACAATGAACCTAAATGTTTATACAAAATCCTAGATCTTGAAGTTCTTGATCAAATGTGTGATCATTAAACTGTTGAATAGATTATAACTTGACAAGTGCAATGTGGTGCAACTAATTAATTAATTACTTTGTCTGCACTAGATTAATATTTATGAGATTTTGGAGTAATTTTATTTTGAACTATTTTTATGCAATGTATTATATCTCCAATATGTAAACTTTTAAGGAATACTTCTATTTTGTGACTTGTTAATGGACCTGATCCCATGGTTGTTGTTGAGCCGATGAACTTTGAGAGAGGATGAAGAATTGAAGAGCCCTCTTCTCAGATTCTATCTAGCGTTTTGAACTTCGTTTAGTAATGTTACAATGGAGTATATCTGAATTTTTGTACTGAGAGTCGAATCTAAATAACCAATATATACCTTCCAAAAAACATTTGACTCTAAAAAATAAAAAGAGCTACCAAATGAAATTGGACAACTTTAACGTCATTGTTAGACATGAAATTTAATCTATTTTATCATTTGGTCGACATTAGACATGAAGCATATATTGCAGAAAATAGATTAGATTTGGATATAGGAATTTTATCACAAAAGGAAACCGATAATATCCCTTATTCTTTTGCATGAAAGTTTTGGTGGTTCTTGTAAAATTACTTGTCATTTAAATGGGTCTCTTCCATTACATCACACATAAAGTCATGAGATTCAAGGTCCCGGAGAATAATGTTTTATCTTTGATCATTTCGAATTGGTGAAAATTGGTAACGAATATGATTTATAAAAAATATCCACCAACTTTGGTTAAGATGATGATGACATATTGAATCCTTTATTTGTTCGATTTTAAGCATTTTGGAATTATTTAATTATGAGTTGATGCTGCGATAGAGAACTTAAATTTACCATTGATTTTTTTTGCAATATGCTTTGGATAACTATGATGGTAAACTCAGTCAGAAACGATGCCAAATAATGGCTTAATTATCATTATTTAGTTATAAGCCTTTTTGAACATACGATTAAGCTTTGCATAATATAAGTATCTAACCATTTTCTTATAATGGGCCAGTCGTCCCCATTTCATAACCTTTTCATTCCAATAATACCATGGATATATATTATACATCCACTATGATGGTCTACTAATATATTCTTAAACCTATCAATCACCACGCAAAGTATAGAAATGGTTTGCATTATGATGTCGAAAACTGTGAAATATTGATATGTAACATTAGTATATAAGAAAGCAAGTAGTGGTACTTATATTAATATAGCATAGTGATAATCATCTGTTTATAATTAGCACATATATAGTATTAGGCCAAGTTGTCCAACTTACCAACTTCAACTCTACGTTTAAACTGGTTGTCAATATGATCGCTCGGTTCAATATTTTTTCTTAAACGTGCAAGCTTATAATCATCTTTTTTTTTTTCTTAAACGATCATGTTATTTTGTAGTTGTTTAAATTTCTCTACCTATTAGTTAAATACATGCTTAGTATTATAGTATATAGGGCTATATATTACATAGTTATGCCTCATTTTTTACATTACCATTCTTTCACAATTAAAAACATAATATTAATACATTCTTCAAAAACTTGAGATATCCATAAATTCCTTATACAAATTCCAAATTAAAAGGCATCCGAAAATATTTTACCAGTGTTGCGATTGGTTTTTCTAGACCATATATATGAACGTTAATGTGTCACAAAATGTCATTCATATAAATTTGGTTAGTTTAACATGAAATAATAATTAAATTAAATAAATTTTGAAAAAATCCAACTTGCAGAATCTAGGAACTCTCTTTTTCTCCTCTTTATAAGGAACCCAACCCTCCATTGCTATTTCATTTTATAGCAACTTTTATCATTCACTCTCTTTCTCACTCTCTTCTCAAGTAACATTAATGGCATCAAACTCTAGAAGCTCGAGCTCGTCATGGACGTTTAAGCAGAACAAGATCTTCGAGAGAGCCTTGGCAGTTTACGACGAGGACACACCTAACCGATGGCACAATGTGGCAAACGCTGTCGGAGGGAAATCTGTAGAGGAAGTGAAGCGACACTATGACATACTCGTTGAAGATCTCATCAACATCGAAACTGGTCGTGTCCCTTTGCCCAACTACAAGACCTTCGAATCTAACTCCAGAGGCATCAATGACTTCAACACGAGGTATATAATCAACTAGCTAAAATCTATGGCATATACTTATATTTTGTGTTTCACAATTATGTCTCGTTCTTCCAGATAAATTACTCATGTAACGTTGGGATATTGACTAAATGCTTCGTTTTGGATTTGCCTTTACATGTTCAATAGTTTGTTTAGTTAGATCTTCAAAACACAACACGATGGTTGCTTCTTATTTTTTAACCAGACATTTGTCTTCCAATATTCTAAACACATATACTGCATAAAAAGAAAATTAATTGCGCTTATAGTTTATAAAAAAAAAATATTTTCATAAGAAAACTTAAATAATATGGTTTATTCTTAAAAGTAGATCAAATTTTATTGCATCTAAAACAATCAAGTTCCATACATATAATCAGTGCTCTAAAAATTGGTATAGATGGTTCTTATGTGTCTGCCTAATCGATAAATCGGATATGAACAAAACGATTTTTCCAATCTAATTTGTTTTAAAATCGATTTAGGCATTCAAAAAATCAGTCTATATGTCCGTCTAAACAATAATCTTTTATTAAATACTTAACTACCTTCTAGCAATTTTTAGAATTTTTAGAACATTACATATAATAGTACATGTAAGGAACACACCTATTAAAACACAAGAGGGATATGTTCACATGAAATTTAATCTCTTCTTGTACTTGATCACATGCAAATTATCTTTAATGCTTTTGAAGCTCATAACACTATATGATAAGATGTACATAAATAGTTATTTTGGTTATTTCTACTTCTGTCCATGGTCGGTGGTCGACATAGTGTTTATTTATATTAAAGCTGTACTGATTAAGCAAAACTTGAGTTTGTGGAACCTTTAATTAACGTTAACTTCAAGTTGCTAATTAAATATGTGACTGGAATCTAATCAACATGCATGAACCGATAATTTAATTACACATGCGCTTACTAATACTGTATTCATTTCTGACAGGTTAATGAAGAATTTGAAGATCTAATGAAGTTTATCACGTTTAAATGTAAAGATTAAGAAGACTATGTGACTCTTCTGTCTCTATTAAATTAGTGATGATGTTTGTATTTGATTGTTTGCTTTCATATTGTGTGTTTGTACTTTGTGTCCTATTATATAATTAAAGAATTGAAGAAAGTAAAACTCAGTCAAAACTTGAATAAATTATTAAATCGACTGGAGAATATAATAAACCTTTGAAAGCCGACAAGAATATCGTGTTTTCCTATTTTAGCAAATGGGGAAGAGTGATTTATACAAAGTGTGCCGAAAGAAGAATATAACAAGAAGCTGGGAATTGGCTTAATTAAGCAATCTTCATCATTATTTTCAGTTTTCAGAAATTAGTCTTAGATTAATAATTATCAGAAGAATATAAACAGATGCCTGTCCCGTCTTCGACTTGGTCATCAATGATCAAGTGAGTTCGGTTTAATTTAGTTTATCTACTTACTTTGTTGTCTCCTCCATGTATTGAGGATATATTTGAACATTATTTATTTCGAAAGCGAATATTTGAATTTAGTCTTCCATGTATTGTATTTGAAATCATTGAAATGTCTAAAGACGTTGACAAAGTCACAAAAATAAGAAAGCACATGACATTTTTTTTTATCAACGAGAAAAACACATCAATAAAACCCATCGTTTTGCCGGAAACATTCATATAATAGATTGCGTAATTATAATGGGCTTTCCCGGGCTAACTATTATAAATCCGTAAGGCCTTTAAATCGTCCAACCGAGCCATTTGAAAAATTGAACAAGGTAGTTGATTAAAAATGAACAACGTCGTGACTGTGACATAACGAAGAAGGATGTTATTTACATTAAGTATTTTACAGAGCTTGGACTTTGATATGGGAAGCTTTTACGTATAAACTATTTTGGCCCACTTTCTTTTCTTTTTGCAAACGAATACTTTTATATATTAGTAATTATCAAAATAGTCTCAAAAGAAAAGAAACGCGAAAAGTATATATATAACCAATTATTACATATAGTAGCTTAGATGCATAGGTCTTGACGACACAAAAGAAAAGATACATAGGTCGTCAGTTATATAAGTTTGGCCTCATCTGTGATATATTCAACAGTGAGAATCTTCAATTTTTGTTTTTAGATTTTTCTCTCAGGCATTTCGTCTTGGTGCAAAGCTGGAATGTGACAGATCTACAGTAGACTCAAATCATATGGTTACAATTTTGGAGATATTTCACATCAAACTTATACAAAAGTTCAACATTGATCTTAACGCTTGCGTGTGCATTTATTTATCATGACTATAAAACAATTTTTAAAAAATTACGGTTATGTAGCATAATAGCATATAAAATTCTAGAGGTAAAACTCATAACAAAAATATATAATTTTTCATCTATATATATAAAACTAGAAATGTTGTGTTTACATTATATATCTGTATTTTAGTTGGCAAACAACAAATGATGCTTATCTATAATATTTCTTTATATACACATTAAGAAACACAAATTTTGACTGTTTTGCAATTTTTGTTTCTTTCGTACGATTGGTATCAAGCGGTTAAATATAATTTCCATCGTATTTGGCTATCTAAGTTTGTACTTTGTAAGAACACAATATGTTTGTGTTAACCTTAAACGTAAAAAAGGACAGAAGCATAAACTAATAAGTAAAAGAAAGCTGATTACAAGTACGATCTTGGTAAAAGACAAAACAAAAAAATCAAACCAAATTAGAAGAAAACATTAACTACGCAAACAAAACATCCATTGATTGATCCAAAGATCGTACAAGCTACAAAAACCTAGACAACATTTTAAAACACAACAACAACAACATGAATAATAGATTAAAAGATAATCTCTTACATAATCTTACACTTAAGTAGTTCTTACATAATCTCACCATTAGAGAGTAGTTCCTGTAACTGTTGATGGTGGTGGTGGTTTCCTAGCATTGTTCTTGTTGTTATGCATCCAAACTTTGAACACTTGTCTCTTAACTCCGATCTCACCACAGAACCTCTTGAGCTCTTCCTCGTCTTGCTTGTTCATCCTCCACCCTAGCTTCTCCGCGAACTCCATCATCCTCTCCTTCTGCTCCGTCGTGAACTTCGTCCTGAACCGTTTCTTCGAAGACATCGAAAACGCCATTTGTCCCCCCGTCGCTCCTCCTCCTCCTCCTCCATGCTCTCCGCTTGATTGTCCGTACATATTCAGATCTTCACTAGACGACTCAGCTCCTCCTCCTCCGTAAGCGACGCTCATCGGCGTCACCATTCCCGCACCACCAGGCGGACTCATACCGTACTTGTGGTGGTGCATCGGCGTGTAATTCGGCGGCGGAGGAAGCATGAGTGGGTTAAGCATCATATTCTGCGGCGGCGGTCTTCTCCCTCCTCCTCCTCCGCCGTACTGATGGTGGTGGTGATGACGGTGGTGGTGAGCGATAACATCCGAGCTTCCAACACCGTCGACTTCTTTCCGGTGGAAATTACGGTGGCAGTCACAAGCGGCGCATCTGAGAGCTTCTATCGTTCCTTCTTCACCGCTCGGCATGAACTCGCCGCATCCGTCGTGTACGCTTCCGCCGACGTTGGCCGCGTGGTTCTTGAGACACTCCCGGTACCGTACGGTGGTTTTAGCGGCGGCGAAAGAAGAGGGAGACTTGGAGTGGTGGTGGTGATCTAGGGTTTGAGAGTTGGAAGAGACACGTGTGTTGTTGTTATTACCGTTGACATTATCTTCATTTGCAATGATACCAACACCATTGTTGTTGCCATTGTCATCTCTTCTTCTCTCTATCATTTCATGGCTTCTCATATCCATTTTTCTTCTTCTTAGAGTTCAATCAAAAACTAAAACTAAAACTCTGAAAATGAATTAATCACAATTAAGAAGATTAAAAAAAAGGTTAATTAATTAATATTCTGGAGATATTACATAAGCTTGTTATGAAGTGAAGTTTGTTTAATTTTATGTCTGAAAAAGAACATACTAATGAGATTACTAATAAGGAAATAAAGGAAACTAAAGACAGGGAGATCCAGAGACTCACAGATAAGAGCAAGTACACGAGGAAAAGCCCAGTTTTTCTGCAGGAGGAACCGAAGAGGATCTTAAACTCTCATTAAAAGCTTTTTTTTTTGCTTGTGAATGGTTTTAATGGAGAGAGAGAGAGATGAAGAGATGAGAGAGGAACCTTTTAAGATTAATACTACTGCAAAAGGGATTTTTAGGGTTAATTGGTTTTTAAGGGTGAAAGAGAGAAGAAACCATGTTTGATGTCTCAGTGCTCCCAACAAGCCAACCTTTGAGATCCGATTATAAGAGACAGTTTGGTTGCGTGTGGTGAGGCCATGAGAAAGAGATAAGAGACGATCCCCCTTTGTTTATTGAGCGATGAGACTAAGAGCAACCGCATCGGTCATCCCCATCCCCCGAATCCTTAGCATTAAAAAAGTATTTTTTTTTTTTTTTTTTACTTTTTGAATAGTTAAGGACTGTGATCCGAAATAATGTGTGCATTGGTGATACTCGATTTGGAGTCCTTAAGAATAAAAAAATATTTTTTTTAAAAAAAAAGTTAAATTTAAATTTTTATTTATTATACATGATTCAATAATAAAAGATACAACAATTACTAATCTTCATCACCAAATTTGTTCCAAATATGATCAATTAAATCGTTTTTCAAATTTTCATGTATACGCTTATCCCGAAGATCATTCCGAACGAGAAACATATTGTTGAGATTTGTAGGCCTCTCGGTTTCCACCCGTGAATTTCTGGTGACGTGTCCTTCTTGAAATTCAGATATATCGATCTGCGCGTATCCATCTCGT